TGGTGCTCCTCCTGGTTCTGGTCCTGGTGCTCCTCCTGGTTCTGGTTTCCTCCTGGTTCTCGTTCTCCTTCTGGTTCTGGTTCTGGTGCTTCTCCTGGTTCTGGTGCTCCTCCTGGTTCTGGTTCTGCTCCTGGTTCTGGTCCTCTTCCTGGTTCTGGTGCTGCTCCTGGTTCTGGACTATGAGCCAGCGGCTGGCGGCACTGATTCGATTGGACCGGCTGGGGGAGTTTGCCGGTATAAATAGCCTGTGTGGGGGTGTGAGCAGCTGATCTGCTGCCAGGCAACCAGAGGGATGGAGGGGGGGGGGGGGGGCTTTCCCTGGTCAGGAGGGGGCAGAGCTGGACTCTGCTTCAGCTGTGAGGAGGCTGCAGGTGTCTGTGAGCCTCCTCCTCTTCCTCCTCCTCCTCTTCCTCCTCCTGACCATAAGATAATGATAGAATAACAGTGTGCTGCTACAGTCGGCTAAATGATAAGCTAACAGTATGTTGTGGCCATAAGCTAACGATAAGCTAGCAGTATGCTATCAGATGGAGGTTCTGATGGAGGTTCTGGTGGTACTGATGGAGCCTCTGATGGTTTATGGTGGTTCTAAAGGAGGTTCTGATGGAGATTCTGGTGGTTCTAACGGAGGTTCTAGTGGTTCTAAAGGAGGTTCTGATGGAAATTCTGGTGGTTCTAACAGAGGTTTTAGTGGATCTAAAGGAGGTTCTGGTGGTTCTGATGGAGGTTCTGGTGGTTCTAACGGAGGTTCTGGTGGATCTAAAGGAAGTTCTGGTGGTTCTGATGGAGATTCTAATGGTTCTGATAGAGGTTCTGGTGGTTCTGATGGTTCTGTTTGGTGTTCTGACATGCAGCAAACATTGTGAGGCTCTTAAAGAGACAGGAGGAGAAAAAACAAAGTATTTAATTTGAGAGTTTTTAATCCCAGGTTTTCTGCCGCTTTTTTAAAACTAAATAAATCAGTTTTAGCTTCCGGAAAGCAGAAACATTTTGAGTTTTGCTCAGATTTAAACCCACCAAATTTACATGTGAAGCTGAATGTTTTACTGCAGAATGCAGAGAAAAAAACTCCTCTTGGGGGTTTCCTTCAGACACAAAAGTCCATTTAAGAACAATAAGTAGCACAAAGCATCTGAAAACCAGCGGATACGAACACTGGGCTCAGAAATCTGAACAGAAAGCTCCAAAACAGCCTGAAAATTGACATTTTTTTAAACATATAAACAGTTTTAACTGATGCAACTCCCAAATTCAGGCAGTTTGCAGGAGAACAAATGTATTTATGCAGATTTGTGTATGTGTGTACATAGGCCAGTGTTAGGCAGGGTGTGTATTTTCCTACCATCTGATTGGACAGGCCATGTCAGCATGATGCTATTGGAGGAGAGGATTCAAACCAGGGCTCAGTCATCCAAACGGGCCAATGGGAACAGGGCATGCTGTCCCATGTGACCTGAGAAAGTAGAGGATACTGTGTGTCTACTGTTTTCTTTTTGTGGTCCTTCTGCCTTTTTTCTTGTCATTTTAGTACATAGTTTCAGATCTTTTACATGTATATTCATGGTTTCATTATGTTTCTGACCCACTGTGCGAGGTTTAGATGCCTTTTTTGGTCATTTTAGCGGAATTTCCTGGTCTTTTCAGCACTGTTTTTGTCCTTCTGAGTTCTTTTTGTGGTCCTTCTGTCCTTTTTTTGTCATCTTAGTACCAATCTTAGATCTTTTACATGTATATTCATGGTTTCATTCAGGTTCTGAACAACTGTGGGAACTCTGACAACTTGTTTTGGGGCTTTTTTGGCCCATTTTAGACCTCTTTTAAAGTCTGTTTTTGGTCTTTTTTTAACATTCAGGCTGCTTTAACAGACTCGTCTCCCAAATTTAGGGCAGTTTGCGGAGAGCAGAGGCTCCAAAAGGCCTTTCACTTTCACACTCAGCTGATGTTTAACGCTCACTTTTAACAATCACTTCTACTCTTTGGCCGCTTTCTGCTCAGTAAAATGAAGGAATGTGGCCTCATTTGTGCTTAACAGCAGCCCGAGCTGCACAAAGTTTCCCTAAAAGTGAACCAGGCTGGGACCTCTGTGGGTAACAACGCGGAAAAAACGGCTGTTTTTGCTGAAAAAGGGAAGCAGAGCAGGGAGGAGGAAGTCCTCCCCCGGCAGGGAGAGTCCTCCCCCCCCAGCCGGGGGGGCCGGAGGGGCGGGGGGAGGATCCCCGGAGCGGCCCGGGCCGTTTCTAGTGACGTTGGCCGGGCCTCCGCCCTCCCCCCGCGGCCGGGACTTACAGGAATTCCCCCGCTCGTCACGTTATTCTGAGGAAGCCCCGCCCCCCCCTTAACCCCGCCCCGCCCCCCACCGCCGCGCACACAGCTGATAGGAAGGAAACGCACAGTTCCGGCTGGCCGTGTTTACAAGAAGAAAAACAAAAAGAAGAAGAAGAGTGCGGAGGGTCCCGAACCGGAGGACTCCGTAGAGTTTGAGAGTTGCGACCGGTTCGGTGAGGAAGTCCCGGACCGGACCAAAACAAACCCGGACCGGACCGTCCCGTTCCGGACCGGACTGACCCGGACTGGACCGACCCGTAACGGCTGCGCAGAGCCGGGACGCTGGTGCGTAAACCCGGACGTGCTGCTGTCAGAGGAGCAGCACCAGGGGGGTCCTCAGCCTTCTGAGTTAAATGTACATGTTTCTAAATACCCTGTGGCTTCTTCTTCTAGAAGTTTTTCACAAGTTTAGAGAGAATTAAAGACCAAAAACAAGTTTTAAGGCTGGTTTCTGGCCGTTTTTCACCAGTTAAGGGTCAGTTATTATCATTAGAGCTGGTTTCTGAACTGGTCTTTTTTTGGGGGGGGGGTGCAACAGGGTTTAAAAACTTCCTTTACAGACTTAATGTCAATCTGAACCAATGAAACTGATATTTTTTGTGTGATTAAAATCACCATTAGAGGCAGGTAGCATAGCATTATGTTAGTTGCAGCCTTTATGCTAAGTTAATGCTAAGCTAATGCACCTGTAAGATAGCTATAAACCTTCTGCACGTTTTTGACCTCAATGTTGACACAGGAAATCACAAATTTATTTTTGAATTCATTACCATGAGGGAAAAAGGGTGTTTAGCTTGGAGCTCAGCTCATTAATTCCCCTCAGTTTCCAGTCTCTGTGCTAAGCTAAGCTAAGCTAACTGTGTTATACTCCCTGGACTGAAAACATCGAGCCATTCATCACCTCCAGGAAGTGAAGGCATGGTGTTGTGCTAATTGTTTATCTCCCTTTTCAGTCTTTATGCTAAGCTAAGCTAACTTAATGGTGGTTGTTGACTGCTGACTTGTTGCTTTGGTCGTAATACCAAAGCAGACTTAAGGCAGCTGGTTCCACCGGTGGAGAGCAAAGCGGAAAAACAAACATCTGAATCTAAAATCTAAACTAATATCCCCACAAAGCCACTTCCTGTTTATCAGAAGGTTCGTTTAGACTTGTGTTTGGAAGAATGTGCTCAAAGTGCAGCTTTAAAAAGAAGAAATGGTCAAACTCAGAGGTTGAGTTATGAAAACAGAGCTTTTCCTACTTCCTGTGTGTGAGAGGAAGTCCTGATGAGGCCGCTGACCTCCTGCCGACCTGCACGGGGAGAGAGGAGCCCCTCGTTTATTTCTGCTCTAACTGGCAAAAGGCTCATTTTACAGCGTTTTACTCATTCCATCGTTGTCTTTTTGGCCCTTTTGGCCCTCCGTATTCAGACTTAGAAGTCGATCTGTGCTGTTTTGTTTGTGTTTTCTGCCTGTGGATTTCTGTTGATGCTTCACTCTTAAGCTGTAAGCATGTTTTGTTGTTATTAAGCTCTATTAATACTTTATTTATTTATTTATTTATTTATTTATGTAGATTTGTATATGTGTGTACATAGGCCAGTGTTAGGCAGGGTGTGTATTTTCCTACTCGCTGATTGGACAAGGCCATGTCAGCCTGATTCTATTGGAAGAAAGGGGCACAAAATGGGCCAATGGGAGCAGAGCGTGCTGTCATGTGACCTGAGAAAGGAGATGATACTGTGTGTGACCCCTTTAAATGGGGAGGAACATCTGTGGGGGGAATTCTTGGAAAAATCAGCTTTTTAGGTCTTTAGATGAAGGAAAATCATTGTTGTGTTCACAGTGCTCAGATATCTGAGGTTCAAATCAGGGTTTCTTCCAGGTTTTTACCCACTGTGGGAACTCTGGGAGGTTTACAGCCTGTTTTGGGGCTTTTTAGCTCAATTTCCTGCTCTTTTTAGCACAGATCCTTTTGCCTTTTTTCTAGTCCTCTTTGTAAGTTTTAGATCCTCTAAGTGTATATTCATTCAGGTTCTGACCCACTGTCTGAACTCTGGGAGCCTCTTTTGGGGCTTTTTAGTCTTTTTAGGTCTGTTTTTGGTCTTTTTAACTTTTTTCTCCTGTGTTTTCAGCTTTGATTTTGGTTTTCTGAGCTGTTTTTGTGGTCCTCTTTACTTTTATGTTCCATTTATTACCTAATTTTGGACTTTTACATGCTACTTCATGGTTTCCTTCAGGTTCTGACCCACTGAGGGAACTCTGTGAGGTTTCGGGGACTCAGTGACAGCTGCTGGATGGATGCTAACAGAGTTAACTTCAGACTGAGGGCAGCAGGGTTAAACAGAGTCTGGATTAAAGCGAAAACTCAGAAATACGTCTGAGGTTCAGCAGGCTAAAAAAATCCCTTTTTATTCCTGGATACTACAAATAATTCATCCCTGAAACAGGTTACAGTAAACACAGCGTCTGGGAGTGGAATGTGAACCAGGACAGGGGTTGTTTCTCCGTTGGGAGACGTGGTGGGTTTGGTTTTTTGGGTTTGGTGTGAGGCTGTGAAACGGGGATCCAGATGAAGCCAGCGAGCTGATTTCGTCCCCCGCTCGCCGCCCGCCGGCTGCCTCTGGGAGCCCACGCAGCCCGGCTCCGCCTCCAGCTTCCTGTGGGGGCAGCAGCTCCGCCGGGCTCCCAGATTCTGCTCATCTCTCTGTTTTCACACCTCAGACGTCTAAACAGCAGATTCAGAAAAACTGCCCGGGATCTCTGATTTTCGGTGTTTGATTTTTATCCTGGTGAGCGTCAGACCTGCTCACATGTTTCCACTTTTGTCTGGAATATCTGCTGGAACAGAGCTCATTTAGTGGAATCAGACCTGGTTCTGAAGAAGAAAAGCAGAAATTCAAGGTTTAACTTGAGATATTGTGAGTTTTCTTCATTTCTTGAATTAATTTATCTGATTTCCGAATTGATTTTTGCCATCAACTATGAAGTTTTCCTTTTATTTTAAAATGAACTCATATTTTTAGAGGGATATTTACAAAACTGATGAAAAAGACTCTTTAAGGTGTTTTAAACCCTTTTGTTGTCCTCAGGTCTGTTTAACCTAAGCAAAAAGTCTAAAATGGCTCCAAATGTTTGAGTTTCTGCTGCCCATAGAAGCTGAACCAGCTCCTGAACTCATGTTTCCACTTCTGTCTGTAATATCTGCTGGAACAGAGCTCATTTAGGGGAAATCAGAGCTGGTTCTGGAGGAAAAAAGTGCGAGTAGTTTCCTCTCTGGTTCTGGTCAGAGGTTCACAGCTGGATGGAAAACCTGCTGCTGTCAGAGCTGATCAGGATGCCTAACCTGAATTGACCCATAGACGCCTTTTAAACCACATTTCCAAAGTTCTGGTGGAAGTAAAGGCTCCCTTCTTTAAATGTTTCCCCTCTTGTGTTTCAGATAAAATCGAGGAGGCACAGAAAGAGCTGAAGGAGCCCCAAGCTCCACAGAAAGGTGAGACTTCCTCCTCACGAGTTGCTGCTTCACAAACAGGAGTCGACCTGGTTTTAGCTGCTTCTGTTAGCCAGCTGTTAGCCAGCCGTTAGTTAGCGTTTACCCAGATCTTAGCCAGCTGTTAGCCAGATTTTAGCTGTGCTGTTAGCCAGCGTTTAACCAGTGTTTAGCCAACCGGTAGCCAAGGTTTAGCCAGCCGTTAGCCAGCGTTTAGCTATCTGTTAGCCTGAGTTTAGCCAGCCGTTAGCCAAATGTTTGCCAATGTTTATCCAGCGTTTAGCCAGAGGTTAGCTGTCTGTTAGCCTGCTGTTAGCCTTCTGTTAGCCAGCGTTTAGCCAGCTGTTAGCCAGCGTTTAACCAGTGTTTAGCCAACCGTTAGCCAAGGTTTAGCCAGCCGTTAGCCAGCGTTTAGGCAGTGGTTAGCCAGCGCTCAGCGGGCGGCTCTCAGAGGCCTTAAGGCTGGAAAAGCCCCTCCTTCCTCTCAGAGGGTGTGTTTGCTTTTGTGGAAAACAGCTAATTATGCCAGCGGGCCTGTCCGGAGGCCTGAGCTCATTTGAAGGAAAAAGCAGCAGCCAGGAAAGACTGACACCCCGACTGTTGCACAGCTCCCTCCTGAGAGCCCGGCCCTTTAAGGCAGCCGGCTCAGGATCCAGGAGGAGCGCTGCTGGCTCCTTACATAAGTTAGCGTGGGCCCAGCTCCACCACAGCGGGCTGCTTATGCAACTCCACCCACAGGTTCTTTAACCCTCTGGGCTGAAGTTCCACCTTAAAAGCTGCTCACACAGCACAGCTTTTCTTCATTTCTGCCTAAAATCTAACAAAAAAACAGCAAATCTGAGCAGGAAAAAGCCAGAAATCCACAAACGCGTCTTAGAATTCACATCAAAACAGTAAAAATCAAAAACTTAGGAACTAATTCAGCAGCAACTGTTTCATCTGATCTATTTCTTGCTTTTTCTGCCTTTTTCTCCTCGGCAACCGCAGCTTGTGTCACATGCAGCTTTCTGATTGGTGGATGTGGAGTTTTTTCTACCAATAGGGAAGAAAGTGCAGCAGCAACTCAATAACTGTCTCCTGGTTCAGTTAAAGTCTTTACTGGTTTAACATGAGTTTAGACGAGAAGGTTGTGTTAATTAGGATGAATCAGACTTTCCCTGCATATTTTACTATGTGTAAATGTTCCAGAGTTTTGTGGTTCTACTCTAAAATCAAACTGGAGTAAACTAAGGCTAAAATGAAAGAAAAAACATAAATGTAAATTAAAATCCTCCAGTCTGCCATTACCAGCAGGTCTCAGCTGTAAATCTGTTTAAATTGAGTTATTAAAGCGCCGGAGCCCCTTTTCTCCACGGACGGTTAACCTAAGAGGATTTGGTTTGTTATATTTTTATTAGAATTTTGTATGACAAGTTACAGGAAATAGACGGGAAAAAAACGGCGAGCAAAACAAAAACAAACAAACAAAACAAAGACAAAACAAACTCAGGGCATATTTAGAAACAATAATCTTAACAAAAGTACAAAACAAACTAAAGCAGGGCATATTTAGGAATAATAATCCTACTAGAGGTCAAACAGAGCTGAACCCTCTGAGGAAACACCTGATCCACTTCCTGTGTGTCTCCACAGCGACGTCCAATCAGAGGCCGGCGGACGTCCTCAAAGGCCTGAAGAGGAAGAAGCTCGTCGGAGACAACCAGCCGGACAAAATCCCCAAATCTCCTGTAAAGAAACCGAGCGCCGCCCCCCCCCCAAAGGCCGCCGCCTCCAGCCGGGGGGGGAAGCCCGGCCCCCCCTAGCAGCCCCCCCCACAGGGGGGATGTCCAGGGGCCGCCCCCCCCTGCTGGGGCTGAGGGGAGAAAGCCGCCATCAGAGGGGGGGGTGCGCCCCCAGAGCCCTGAAGACCAGCAGAAGGGAGGAAGTGGCCCCCAGCTGGGGGGGGACAGTAGCCCCCAGGGGGACAACTTCCACAGCAGGGCCCCTCTGGAGGTCCTGCTGAAGGCCATGGAGCCAGACTTCAGCAGCCTGCAGGCCCAGAGCCAGAGCCAGACCAGGACCCAGACCCAGATCCAGCAGACACAAACCAGGACCCAGATCAAGCAGGAACAGGCCAGCACCCAGATGGCCCGGACCCAACTAGCCCAGCAGAACCAGAACCAGAACCAGCCGGCCCACATGCAGAACCAAACCCAGCAGACCCACATACGGACCCAGGCCCAGGCCCAGGCCAGGACCCAGACGCAGGCGGCCCAGCAGAACCAGACACAGGCGGTCCAGCAGACCCAGACCCATCTGACCCAGCAGACCCAGAACCATACCCAGAACCAAACCCAGAACCAGACCCAAACCCAGACCCAGAACCAGACCCAGACCCAGAACCAGACCCAGAACCAGACCCAGCCGACCCAACTAGCCCACCAGACCCAGACCCACCAGACCCAGAACCAGACCCAACTAGCCCACCAGACCCAGACCCAGCCGGCCCAGCAGACCCAAACCCACATGCAGACCTACTACATCGATGAGCAGGGCCACTTCATCGGCGTGGCGGCGGCTCTCCAGGGCGGCTCGCCGCTCACCGCTCCACGCTTCACCCCTAACCCGGAACAGCCCGGCGTGCCGGTGCTGAGCCTTGGCGCCGGGCCGCCACCCCCGCCCCTAACCCACGCCCCGGCGCCATCCGGTGGTGGCGCCCTGCCGCGGGGCCAACCGCCCGCCGTGCACAGCTGCCAGTCACTGGCCGCCAGCGTCCCCCACCAGGTCCCCGGCACCCCGGGAGGCGGCCGGCTGCAGGTGGCCGCCGTCCTGAGTTTTGGGCCCGAGCAGGTCTCCAAGGACCAGCGGCCCAAGAAGCCCGGAAAGTACGTGTGCGAGTACTGCAGCCGGGCCTGCGCCAAGCCCAGTGTGCTGCTCAAGCACATCCGCTCCCACACCGGCGAGAGACCCTACCCCTGCGTCACCTGCGGCTTCTCCTTCAAGACCAAGAGCAACCTGTACAAGCACAAGAAGTCGCACGCGCACGCCATCAAGCTAGGGCTGCTGGCGCGCTGCGGGCCGGAGTCAGATCGGCCCGCCGGGACGCCATCAGAGGCCGAGGACAGCGGCGAGTCCGAGGAGGACACCACCGACCCGGACAGCGAGGCCCCGGTCTGCCCGCCGGCCGAAGTGGCGCCCGGGCCGCCAGCCAGGCCGGCGCGGGGCCCCAAGGTCGCCGCGGCGCTGCCCAAGGTCGTGGTGTACCCGGTGAACGTGTCCCCGCTGAGGGCGGACAGCCCCCGGGTGGCGGGCGCCGCCCCCGAGCCCCAGGCGGCCGGACTGCGGTCCTCCGTGTCGGTGCTGTCCAGCCTTAAGGAGGTGGATGGTGAACCGGTCCCAGCCGCCTCGCCGGACGCCGCCAGCGAAGACGAGGACCGGGAACGCCGCTCGCCGCCGCCGCCGCTCGGGGGCCACGCCCAGCTGCAGCGCCAACAGGCCACGGACTCCTCCCAGCAGCCGCCGCCCAAGTGCCTGCTCAGCCCCCGCAGCCTGGGCAGCACCGACTCGGGCTACTTCTCCCGGTCCGAGAGCGCCGACCAGGCCATGAGCCCCCCCAGCCCCTTCCTGAAGCTCCTCCCCCCGGCCGACGCCGACCTGGCCAAGGCCGTCCCCCCCGTGGTGGCGGCGGTGCTACAGGTGGCTAGGCCCCCCGACCGGCCCGGGAGGCCCCCCCTGGAGGCCAGCGCCCGCTCCCTGGAGGAGCGCATCTCCAAGCTGATCTCCGACAACCAGGCGCTGGTGGACGACAAGCAGCTGGACAGCGTCAAGCCCCGGAGGACCTCGCTGTCCCGGAGGGGCAGCATCGACTCCCCCAAGTCCTACATCTTCAAAGACTCGTTCCAGTTCGACCTGAAGCCGATGGGCCGCAGGTCCAGCTCCAGCTCCGACATCCCCAAGTCCCCCTTCACCCCCACCGACAAGTCCAAGCCCGTGTTCCTGCTCTCCGTGCCCACCCAGTACCCGCCCCTGGACTGCCTGCCCATCACCAGGAGCAACTCCATGCCCACCACCCCCGGCCACGCGGCCCCGCCCCCGAACGCCTTCCCGCCGCCGCCCCACCCGCTTAGGGTCTGCCAGTCCTTTGACGAGAAGATCGGCTCCCCGAACAGCGACGGCTTCTCCTCGCCGCCCCCCAACCAGGCCGCCATACACGCCCGGACTCTGGTCAGGCAGGAGGCGGTGGAGGACGTGTCCACCGGCGAGAGCCTCCCGTCGGCCCGCTCCATGGACGATGGCGGCGGAGGAGGAGGCGGCGTTGGCGAGCTTCTACCGAAGAGCAGGTCCTTTGACCAGGACCGGCTAAGGAAGCCGCCCCAGAACAAAGGCACCATGTTCGAGTGCGAGACCTGCCGCAACCGCTACCGGAAGCTGGAGAACTTCGAAACACACAAGAAGTTCTACTGCTCCGAGCTGCACGGCCCCAAAAACAAGCCGGGGGCGGCGGCACCGGCGAGGGAGGCGGCGGCGTTGGCGGCGAGGGAAGCGGCGGCGGCTGCAAGGGAGGCGGCCGAGGACGTCTTCTGCCTGGGCGCCACCCGCTCGCCCATTGGCTCGGGGAGTCTGGACCAGCAGACGTCCATCAGGAAGAGGAGGAAGATGAAGAGCGTGGGCGACGAGGACGACCAGTCCCCCACCGACACGGCGGCGCCCTGCGCGGTCGGCTTCCCGCCGCCAGCCAGTGGGGGCTTCTCCCCGTCCAACGGCGAGCAACCCAAGCCGCCTCCACTCCAGCTAGCGACTCGGGGGATGAACTCAGCGGAGGCCCGGCTGTCGCCCATCCGGGAGGCCCAGCTGGGCGGGTCCTGTAAGGGGGACCTCCAGAGGCAGGGTAGCGGCACCTCAGTCATCCGGCACACCAACTCCCTCAGCCGGCCCGGCTCCTTCGAGACCGAGTCCGTCGGGAGGGCCTCTCCCGCCGGATCCATGGAGGATGTCCCCGTCAAGGCCGGCGCCGACGGGGCGGCCGATCCCCACCAGGAGGCGGCGCCCAAACCCCCTGGAGCCGAGTTCGGGAAGCCGGACCGGGCCGGTGTCCACCAGTCGCGTCTGGTCCGCCAGAGCAACATCCAGGTCCCCGAGATCCTGGTGACGGAGGACTCGGACCGGGAGCACGAGGCGCCTGGCGGTGGTGGTGGCGGCGAGCCAGTCGACAAGCCCCCGGAGTCCTTCAGCTGGCCCCAGAGGAGCGAGAGCCTGTCCAAGCTACCCGCCGAGAAGCTGCCCCCCAAGAAGAAGAGGATCCGCCTGGCCCAGATGGAGCACTCCTCGGGGGAGTCTAGCTTCGAGTCCAGCCTGTCGCGCAGCCTGAGCCGGGACAGCAGCCTCTCGCGTTGCTCCAGCGTCTCCGCCTCCTTCGACGAGCCGAGCCGTCCGGGGAGTCCGTCCAGGGGCGAGAAGCCGCCGGAGCCCCCAGCGGCGCCGGCGGCCTTCAACACACTGGGTGTCCCGGGCGCCATGCGGAGGGCCGCCTCCGAGCAGATCAGCTGCACACAGCCCTCTGTGGAGGTGACCTGCGACTACCGCAGCAAGTCCTTCGACTGCGGCCGCTTGGCGCCTGGCCGGACGCCGCCCACCAGCCGGCCGGGCGCCACCTTACCGGGCGCCACCCTGCCCCTCTCCTGCCCCTCCCGGCCGGCTCAGCTGCCGCTCATCGAGCGCCGCCGCGGCCCGCTGCTGCGCCAGATGTCCCTGAAGATCGGCCCCGAGACCCAAAAGCCGCCGGACAAACCCCCGCCGATCCTCCCGGCCCAGAACCGACCCGGCCAGCAGGCCCAGGCCGCCCCCCCGCAGCACCACCAGCAGATGGTGCAGAGCGTCAACCTGGGAAGCCCCACCCTGCAGGCCCAGGTGCACGGCCTGCCCCACCCCTGGCACCAGGCGTCCCGGGTGCAGACCTGCCAGAAGGCGCTGCAGACCTCGTCCTGCCGAGACGAAGCCAAACCGGCTGACCCCGACGACAGCAAGTGCTTTGTGCCCAAATACCAGCTCCCCTGTCCGGCTCGGAGGGCCGGCCCCGGCTTCTCCTTCTGCTGCCCCCAGGCCGCCCAGATGGCTCTGCCCATACTGACCATCCCCATCGCCAACCCGGTCCTGAAATCCGCCGATGTCTTCGTCTCCAGCCGGCAGGCCTCGGACCTGAAGCTGGAGACAAAGGACTCGCTGGACCACAGTCAACCTGGCGCTGTCGCACTGCCGCAGATCCTGATCACCCACGAGCAGGTGCACCCCACCGGCTCCCTGGGCTGTAAGAGCTTCCCGGCATCGGCCCCGAAACTGGAAGCCGAGGCCCAGAGGGACAGGGCTCAGCCCCCCGTTCTGGAGGCCCAGAGGGACAGGGGGCAGCCTCCAGGTCTGGAGACCCAAAGGGACAGGGGACAGCCCCCCGGTCTGAAGGCCGAGGCCCAGAGAGACATGGCTCCAGCCTGGGGGCAACCCCCCGGTCTGGGGAAGCTGGCCTCGGGGAGCCTCTGCCCCCAGCAGGAGCCCGCCGCCTCCAGCAAGCGCATGCTGTCGCCCGCCAACAGCCTGGACATCTACATGGAGAAGCACCAGAAGAGGGCCAAAGACGAGCACGGCGGCGCCTGCCTGACCGACGGCCGGTCGCTCAGCTACCTCAGCTCCAAGGTGTCCGAGGTGACCCGGCAGCGCAAGCTGATGCTGGTCAGGCAGGTCTGCACCAGCGAGCCGGCCGACAGCCCCATCGAGACCGAAGCCCCGCCCCTTCCCGACCCCAAGCCCGACAGCCAGGACGACCCTGAGGCCGGTGACGAGGTGAAGCCCATGTCGCCCGACGGGTTCAAGAAAGAAGAAGCACCCGGGAGTCGGGAGCAGATCGGCCGGCCCGGGACTCAGGGGACCCCCCTTCAGGGGGAGAGGTGGACCCCCGCCAAGTCCCTGATCCGGCCCTCCAGCTTCCAGGCAGGCCAGGTGAAGCTGACAACCTCAGTGTCGGTGGTGAACGCCAAGGACAGCCAGCGCCTGTCCTTCCCCAGCCTGAAGACGGCCACCACCTTCACCTGGTGCTTCCTGATGAAGAGGAGGCCCCTCCACGGCCCCCAGGCCGACCTAAAGACCTCAGCATACGCTGCCTGGGCCGTCAACCCCAGCAACCCCAACCCCCTGGGGCTGCCCACCAAGGTGGTCATGTCCCTGTTCGACTCCAAGCAAAGCGCCAAGAAGGTCCACTACACCTCAGCCATCCAGACCGGCGGCCAGTCCGACATCCTGTCCTATTCGGGCAAGCTGAAGGACGTCATGCCCAGGGTGAGTTTTCCCCAGAAAGCTCTGGGTCCCTTCAGGTCTCAGATCCAGTCAACAAGTCCAATCGCTTCCTCCTGCAGGTGCCGGTGACCCCGAAGCCTGTCGCAGCTGAGCCCAGAAGCAAACCGGAGCCTCAGACCAGCAACGACTCGGAGAAGGAGGCGGCGCCTGTGGCAGAGCCGCGGCGGGTCAGAATATTCGATGGAGGGTAAGAGTCGGGGTCTGTAGGGGTATGTGGGGTCTGTAGGGATATGTGGAAGTCTATGGGGTTTGTAGGGGTATGTGGGGTCCTTAGGGGGTATGTAGGGTCTGTTGAGGTCTGTAGAGGTCTATAGAGTCTATGGGGTCTATAGGGGTCTGTAGGAGTATGTAGGGTCTGTCAAGGTCTGTATAGGTCTATAGAGTTTGTGGGGTCTGTAGGGGTATGTGGAAGTCTATGGGGTCTGTATGGGTCTATAGAGTTTGTGGGGGTCTGTAGGGATCTGTGGGGGTCTGTTGTCTCTATGGGGGTCATTGGGCTCTATGGGGGACTTTGGGCTCTGTGGGGTTTTGTGGGGGTCTGCTGGACTCTGCTTGATGCTGGATCTCGGACCCCACAGGTTCAAGTCCAACGAGGACTACGTGTACGTGCGCGGCCGCGGCCGGGGGAAGTACATCTGTGAGGAGTGCGGGATCCGCTGCAAGAAGCCCAGCATGCTGCGCAAGCACATCAGGACCCACTCTGACGTCAGGCCCTTCCACTGCGTGCACTGCAGCTTCTCCTTCAAGACCAAAGGTGGGAACCAGGGGACCAGATAACCAAGGGACTAGAGAAACCAGGGAACCAGGGGACCAGATAACCAGGGTACCAGATAACCAGAAAAAAACAGGTGACCATAGAAATCAGAGAACCAGGGGACCATAGAAACCAACTAACCAGATAACCAGGGGACCTGAGAAACCGGGGGACCTGAGAAACCAGGGAACCAGATAACCAGGGAAACTAGGGAATCAGAGAAACCAGATAAATAGGGGACCATAGAAACCAGGGGGACCAAAGAACTAGGGAACCAGAGGGAACCCTGCTGCAGCAGCCAATCACAGCCCCCCTGCTCTGTTTACAGGAAACCTGACCAAGCACATGAAGTCAAAGGCCCACAGGAAGAAGTGCCTGGAGATGGGGGTTCCTGAGGGGGCCATCGAGGACCCGGAGGCCGAGGACTCTGGTAACTGGACTCCGTTTCTTACTGCTCTGCTGCTAATTAGCAAAACTAAAAATCTGATTCACTTCATTTTCATTTTGTACCTGATTCCGTCATCAGTTTTATGGGATTATATCAGTTTCTTA